TTCCTGACCAGCATTTGTTGCCTGTGTTTGTCCACCACTGCACCCATGGAGTTTGCTAGCCACATTCCTGACCAGCATTCGCTACCCGAGTCTGAAGATTGCTGGTGACTTTCCTCACCAGCCTTGATGTCATCACCCATCTTCTCTTCTCTCCGCCTTTGCGACACCCGACCCATGTCATTCCCAACCATTGTGTCCATGACACGTAGTTGGGATACGCCCAACTTTGTTGACACAGTTTTGGATGCCCAATTTTGGTTGGAAAGAAACACTTGTCTGAGAAATGAGGCCGTAGGCAAGCATTAAGTCTTACACTGTGAAATTGTGCAGAGATTAAAATACAAAAAAAACGGATCACAGTCGGTGAAATAAACGACTGAATCCAAGTAGAAATGAGGAGAGATGGAAGGGAGATCAAAATCAGTGAAATATCAGTTCAACATGAAACAACAATGGAATCACCCCATCCATGACACAAAAACATGTAAAAACACTTTAAAAATGGATAACAGCCCAGTTCTCGCAATCTTTTTTTGTTTGTGGTTATTATCATTCAATTTTGTTGAATGACCAAAATTGGGCGTGCCAAGCTTTGTTCACAAAGTTGGGCCTGCCGGAACCGTGCTGTGAACATTTAGTACACACTTGGGGTAGTCGACACATTTGGAGCATAGCAATGCCACCCATTCTCACCTATTTTCAAAAGCTTGGGGGGAACTGATCTCTGACTTTTTTTCAGAACTTACCAATGTTGACGTCCATCGCTGCCGCCGCCTTCTCTGTAGTTGGATCACTGATGAGCAGCACCGTCATGCCGTTGGTCAACTCCAGGCCCCGGTAGGTGCGCTTGTCCTCAGCTGACTTGATGAGGGGGTCAAAGTGCTTGGCAATGTGCGACGTCACTGTCATTTTTGGGGTGGAGGACGATGCAGATGATGAAATTTGCTGTCTGGCACTGAAGAGAGAAGGAAACAACCCTTGAAGTTTCATCAACATATGTAATGCAACTCATTATATGCGCACAAAATCCTTACTCCACCCTTCTGTGTATTTTTTCTTACCCCTAGGGTAAGTTGATGACCGTCCTGACACTAAGTGACAGGTACACACCATTAATGGAATTGAGACACAAAGCATGAAAAGGCAAAACCATAAATTTTATTCGTTATCTGTCAAAATTCTTCACAATTTCCACAAAGCGAGACAAAATCCCCCTGGGTACTTCACCTGTTTGATACATGTATCTCAGTTCAGTTTTCAAAGATGACTATTGTTCAACATTTTGCATCTGTGAGTGAGGCCAACTTCTGGCGACAATAGGCCTTGATGATTTTGATTTCTAACATATGTCCATTTCTAAAATGTTCACCTTTCAGAAGTCTGACTTGGAAGGGGATGTGTCTTTTTTGGTCACCTTTTAGTACAGTTTCAATGGAGTTCGAGGCAGTAGGCCTTCTGGTTCTAGGCCCTAACTTTCACCCTTTTTAACATTTAAACATGGTCGGGCGATAATATCCACCATCACCAAACCGTAAGGCGAAAATCCAAATGTGGACATGGTCGAGCGATATAGTATCTACTATCACCCCACCATGTCCAAATGTTAAAAAAGGCAAAAGTCCAAATGTGGACATGGTCGGGTGATAGTATCTACTATCACCCAACCATGTCCAAATATTAAAAAAGGTGATTTGTAGAGTCCAAATTACATGTACATGTAGGCCTACTCGGGCTAGGCTAACTCTAACATGTCTAGATAATGTAAGGGGAAAGATTGTCTTGTGGCAAACACAATGTTGAGACTCATTCATAAGCCTAACTTTCATTCATTCATTCATTTATTATTTCTCAGGGTACAAAAACCAACACAAAATACAAAAACCGATACATATCAATATATAAGAACAATATTTGCTGACGGATAGCCTAAAAGCAAACTCAATCACAGTCGAGAGGGTCTCCATAAAAATGTCAACAAATGCAAAAAAACATCAGACTAAAAATGACTAAAAATACAAAAATGCACAAAAGTAAAACTAGATAAATGAACAATGGAATGTACATTTCTGAATGAAGCCACCCCCCTATAGGCCCGCAATTTGGGACTTCCGGTGAAAGAAATACCCCGAACTGGAAACTATCAGTCCCAAATTCGGGATTTATAGAATATTTCTATGATGCCTCCTGATTATGGCATGTCATACAAGAAAAACGCCAGATAAAAAATGACTTAAAATATAAAAATGCACAAAAATAAAACTCGATAAATAAACAATGGAATGTACAGTAAAAATACTGGATCAATATTATGGCATCAAACAATGTTAGCCTCAGGAGACAACCAATGGTCTCTCAACTTTGAAATGAAAGAATTAAGACTGAAAACAATTTCTGTTGTGACATCTATGAGTAAAGTGTCCCACAATCTTGGGAATCTAACAAATAGTGAGTCATAAAAAGCTTGTGTACGTGAGGAAAAGTGAAGAAACTTGACCCTGTCAAGATGCCTAGTATTGACTACGGAAAGACTTTCAATATTAACATTAACATGAAACCTATTGTACAGACATTTAGCAATGAAAGCCACTGACAAAAAATTCAGCCTATTGAGTAAGGGAGGTAAACCCAGTTGGATGGGACGAGCAGTATAATCTAAGTTGTTAATGTGAAATCCAGGTATGTGCCTACGGGGTAAACCTAAACAAGAAACGACGTTGAACACTTTCTATGGAATGCTGCAAAGAAACCAGACCGGGGAACCAAACCGGACAAGCATATTCGATAATAGGTCTAATAAGAGCACAAAACAGTTTCATTTGGATTTGTGGATCTCTAGAAATAACCAACCTATTGACAAAGCCTGACATTTTAGTTGCTTTAGACACAGTTGAGTCAACATTACAGCAGTCAACGTTACAGCAGTCCCAAATAATTTTCAGACATCAAGCACTTTTCAGCCTAATCCCCCTGGCACCTTAACTTTGGAAACTGTGATGAGAAAACAAGTCTCTGACATAATTGACACAATCGGCGAATGTAGGTGTGCAAGGTGGGTCGCGGTCGATCGTAACTGCGCCAGGAATGGGTAGCCTAGTATGGGTAGGGAACTGATGACTAAACTCAGTCTAAAATTGTTTCGCATAAACTTCTACCTCAGTTCAACTGCTGGACTCTTGCCACAAAGATTCAAAACACGATATAAAACTTGTAGACAAAGCATTGGTTGTGGTGAAATTTGGCACTAGAGTAATCACGGGTTCAGCTTTACGGTTCCGTTGGCGTTACAGACGTAGACGTAGGCCTACGTACTTACGTACATGTACATGTACGTACCCAGAAACTTGTTAATCGACCCATGGTTAAACTTGCACAGCGCCCTCTGTTGAAAATGCCGCCGGCAGGGGTGTGTGTGCGCATGCTGGCTGGGGCAACGGGGGGGGGGCACTGGAGGTGAGGAGTGTTTTCAAAAACAGATTTAAACAAGAACAGTTTAACCTGTAATTGCATCATCCAACCACACACTAAGTATACATGTCGTAATATAACTTGGACTGATAATCGAAAATAAGTGAGTACAATGGTTTTTTTTAGAGAACATGTCCATGCCGGTTGTGCGACGTTCATGCTGCACCCCTTTAAATTGGCACTAACTTCAGTGGGCACGTAGTTACCCAAGGGCTTTGCTAGATCATAAGGAGCAATCGCGCTAAATTGCTGGGGTAATCAGTGGCTGCGGGCCAGTTTAGACAAACAAAAGCCTCAAATGGGGCACAGAAAAATAATCTGTCCCAAGCCTAATCCAATAATCCATTTACAGTCTTGCAAATCTCCAAACACTACCAACCCGTGGTGTAGTCGTGCGTACTGCTTCGATTAGCACGTGCATGCTGACTTTCATGCACATTGTACTAAAACTTTGAGCTTTCAATGGACTGACTTCATTCCACATGTAAGTCATTTGCTTACGTATTATGCGTGCACTAGGCCAATTAGCTACCTGCCAAGAGCAAACATTACTGGGCCACTTTTTTAAAACTGACTTTCATCGTGGGGTCCAGAATGCTTCAGATTTTGGGCTTTTAAGTAAAGATGCTACACCAATCACCTTGACATTATTAGCACTCTGCTGTATCACAGTGGCGTATCCACGCTCTTTCTTCTCAGAGGGGAGGGGGTGGGGAGAATTCCCTCAGGGGGAGCACAGTCGCCTGTGGCTCCCCAGCCAGGCTCCTCTCAGAGGGAGCAGAGGGAGGAAATATTTCTCAAGGGGGTGAGCTACCCCCTTGTCCCCCCAAGCTAGGCTGCTGAAGTGAAACTGAAGCCTTGGGGAGGTTGTGGACAGAGCCACCGTTTGGAAATCTACATGTACAAGCCGGATGCCGATTGAACCATAATTTGGAAAATTATCTAGTAAGCACCGCCAATAGGGGGCGCTATTGCCAGCTTCTAATGTTAGAATTGGAGAATATGGCAGCTGTCGGTAAGTGCAAAGATCCCTATTCTGGAGATGCTGAGATGGAATGCCCCTCTGAAAGCTCAGATATTACCAAAGAGGCTGAGGCAGAACATGGAAAGTCCCCAGAGACGGTTGGACAGTTTTCTGATTCGGGGGATGCCCCTGTTATTGAAGAAAAAGGTAAGCCCAGACATACTCTCAGTCATGTACATGCAAGTACGTCCCAGAATGGTCATTGTGCCTCAGACTTCACTTCAAAATTTTCATTGCTTTGCAACGCTATGGAATATGGGTTTCTGAATGTGCCCATTTATTCTGTCTAAAACTGCATTTTCTCAATCAGAATTCCCCCCAACCTGCCCACACTAAATAATTTCTCATTAACATGTAGTCACGATGGGTTTTCAGGGTTTTGGACCGTCTAGTCTGCGAGTGTGAGCTATTTTTGGCAAAATTGAGACCTTAGGTCTACTTACAATCTTGCCTCTCTTCAACAAACAATCTGCACATTGGAGCTGCCTACTGCAGTACCTGTCCGTTGAACAGAAGACTGGTTCTCATCCCGTCCTGTCCTCTGAACATATTAATAGTGATGGTGGCCATTCCAATATTAACCTCATTTCTACGGGTATGATCTTGCTGTGCAATGTTGGTTCCCTGTGAAGGAATGCACACACAGCCCACGGAGTTGAGATTGCCAATGAGATGATGCATGTGCCATACGTCATATTTCAATGAACACCCTCAAAGTGTGCAAACATATTGATTAAAATCTACAGGAAACTTCTGTAATTTTGTGGTCAGATCAAAATGGTGAAGGTCCCCTACAGTTGTTGACTCTATGGAAAACAGCAGTTAGAATGTACATGTATATGTTCAGTGCCCCATCCTTGAACATTGATTTGTGGTATGACTTCACTTTAATTCTTTCAACACGCTGAAAGGTATCTTACCGGGAGCTCGTAGTAATGTAGTATTTTAAAAGACTGTGCCCTGTTTTTGGGTTGGATTTCACTCTCATAAATAGATCTGTCTTTGTGGAGGTACTTCAGTGCCGAGGTGACAAGAGGCTACCTTCTGGAACATGATGAAGCGAGATACGCACTAAAGAGACAGCGTGTCTACACATTCATACGCATTCCGAAGGAGCTAGAAAAGGTACAGGCTTATTAACAAAAGCATAGTGCACTCTACTTTACAGGAACATAGTGCAGCAACAGCGACCCTGCTAGCACTTGACAGAGACGTTAAATGCACGAAGAGTGTCAATTCATGATCAAGCTAAGTAACTTTGATCACCTTTCAGCTGACAAACTCCATCAAAATTTCCAAAGTGCTGAATATTTCGCCCGTGAGTTTGAGGTCTGAAGTTAGTCATCTTTGTTTCTTTGCTTTGCCCTGATGGTTGAAGTATTAACCCCAAAACACCTAAGGCATTCTTGCCAAAGCCTGCTTGAATTCTTTCTAATCCTCCACTGTGCAAGAAACCAGTGGCACATAGATATTAGTTATGAGCGATTTTGTGATGGTGAAATAATGCACCATCGGTGTCTGTGCCTTTGATTTCAGGAATCATCTGAACAGAACTTTGGAGAGAGTTTGAGGTTTGAGTTTCACAGTTTATTTTGGTGCTGTATGTATGATGTCACATACTCTGACGTGATGAAATTAATTTTCTTGTTGCTCGTTTGTCTGTTTCAGATGATGATGTACGGCTTCTTTCTGTGCATGGATGCCTTCCTCTTTATCTTCACCTTCCTGCCGCTGCGTGTCATCATGGCCCTTTTTCGTCTGGTCTCACACCCCTGCGTCATTCACAGGTGAGGGTGTTAACCCTGTAGGCCAGAAAGATCTGTGCCTGAAGTTATATTGGTGTGGTAGGCGGGATGTGGTTCAGTTCAGTACAGCTTGGTTGGGTTGGGTTGGCCTAAGCTTTGGCTTGCTATTTAGCTCTTAGGATGACGTCAAATTTGCTGGTAAACAAGGGATTTTGGTTAAGAGTTATTGTGTCAAAAGTCATGGAGCATTACAGGATAGTCTCTGCTCCTTCACTGAAAAAGGCGGTTTTACTCTTCCAATAACAAAATATTCTAAATATCGTGAATCTTAACCCCTTCATGCCGGGACGCGTAAAGACACGCCATAAAAATTGAGATCCTCAGCCCGCTTTTCAGCTATTATTCTCGGCCCATGCTTGAGTGAACACGGTGAAAGAAGGCAGACCCTGGCTCTTGTATATATGGTAATTGGTCTTTGTGTGTAGCCCAAAAATGAAAAGACCGAATTTGCATCATAATCACCAGCTTCACAATAGTCCCCACTTTGAAAAGAGGCAACGGAAATGTGGAAGCTTGAGTAGAGCCGCATGCCACAGAATAATCAGCCTTTTCACCATGTTATTCAAAGTGTGCAGAGCACGCTAAGCCACAAACCGAGAATTTGCGATTTGGCAGGTGGCCTTCGTGGCCAAGTGAGGCTGGAATTCTTGGAGTCGGCTTTCGGAAAGAAATTCCCGCCGAGAAGGGGTTAATACTCTCTAGTTGGACTCATATTTGCAGTAATGTTTGTGATCAAGTCGGATTTACTGAGAAATCAAGTAAAAAGACAGAATTTGTGCATTAATTACTGATACAAGTACTCTGTTTTATTGATAGAATGAAAGATAGATGCTCTGGAAGGGTTCACTCTTGATCATGGTTGTTGCATTATGAATCATACTGTAAAAATAAATTGAAATGCTAGGGACAGATTGAGATGTGGATAGAGTTAATGTAAGAAGATACTTATGAAAGGCAATATTGCCCTTCTTTTTCCAGGGGGCAGAGGCTGGAGCCTGCCCAGATCTGTGACATCTTGAAGGCCGTCATCCTGATAGCCTGTATCTGGCTGCTGCAGTTTGTGGATGTATCCATGTTGTATCACCTTGTCAGAGGCCAGGCTGTCATCAAGCTCTACATCATTTATAACATGCTGGAGGTAAGGGTCGGGCACCTTCATGAAACCCCCCAAAAACGGGCTTCCACAGCTACGGCTAGGTCTATTGTCCACGGGTCTTCATGCATTTCCTATAGAATGAATACCAAGACCTAGCTCTGAACAAGAGATTCGGATGCAACTTAAATGAGGCATGAATGATACGCCCTCAAGCGCTTGGTACACGTATCACGTGACCCAGCACGGAAACCGACTGGCCCGCGCGCTGCGTTATGCGGTAACAGCCCGATCAAGCAAAGCAAATGAATGAATTCTCAAGACGTAGACACAGGCACTGGTACATACCTTCATTGGTTTATTGTTTATTGATGTACCACATGAAAACATGCTTAATGGTGAGGTTTGAGGAAAACTTGCACAGTAGGGATAGCCTAAAATCCACTTCATGTTCAACTGAGCTTGCAGGCCAACTGCCGTAAGCCAGTAAGGTTGCATATGCACTGAAGCATGAAACTCTCGATAACTCGAACGTTGGATAACTCGAACTTTTCGTCCATTCCCCTGAGCTTTGACTTATTGAGATTTTGCTGTATGTTGATTTTAATTTTTACATGTTAACACAAGTGGCCTACTTGCATAGCTGAGAACAGTGCCGAATAATTAATTCTTAATAATTCCAGGTATGTGCATGGCAGTAATTGTAGATGAATAGGTTTGGCATAGATATTGTTTCGTTTAACCCTGTCCATGTGTTATTAATGCCAACGGCTAGTATCCATTCAAAGTTACCCTTGGTGCTCACCATAAATCTTAACATTATGCATCTTGATGGAGTCAAAAGGCAATTGTGGTAAGTGTCTTGCTTAGTGACACAAGTATAATATGGCATAACTGTGGCTGGATTCTAGACTACTTGTTTAATTGCACATCACCTGGACGAGGCCTTCAAACTAGAGAGTTTGCTGGATTTAGTGCCAGTCATTTCTGGTTTAACTTGTACATACAATTGTAGGTTGCCGATCGTCTCTTTTCGTCATTTGGCCAAGACATCCTTGACACGCTTTTCTGGACTGCCACAGAGCCTCGAGACAAGAAACGAGAGCATCTGGGTATCCTGCCCCATCTACTTATGGCCATCATCTATGTCTGTATCCTTTCTGAGATATTGCAGTCTCAACCATTAACCTATCTAGCCAACTGAATATTCCAACTGCATGTCAGGGGTTATTTGGGATAATTCTATACGTGTTAGTCTGGTCTTGTCAGCACATCTGTACACCATCTCACTATGTGCTGAACTTGTGTGAGTCAGATGTTTTTATCCCAAATGACCTTACCTGATTTGAAATGTGCATGATCAAACTATCCTTTTGTCCTTCCTTAACTGTGCCAGTCTTACATGCTGTACTGGTCTTGCTTCAAGCCACTACCCTCAACGTGGCATTCAACTCCCATAGCAAGGCACTGCTCACCATCATGATGTCCAACAACGTGAGTGTAAAAAACATTATTACCGGCTTTTTTCAGGTCCGTTCATACAAATTTAAATTTGTGACATTGGTATTGCTAGTAGTTTGCATAGCAGATTGCTGAAAATAGAACAAAATTTATCAGCATCATGTTCTTTGCAAGTATTGAAAGAGCCTTGGCTATAATTGTTGATATTTCTGCTTCATTAAACACACCTTTGGAATAGAGCAATATGCAGAGTATGGTATGCACCATGATGGATTAGTTTGCGTGTAGCATGGTATGTTGCCAGGGATGGATCAGTCAGGATCAAGGACTCAAGTTTCTTGAGGCAGAAAGAGTTTTTGGTCATTGAGCTCAGTTGTCAGTTTGGTTTCTCTCTCGTCTGTGTTGACAGTTTGTGGAGCTGAAGGGGAGTGTCTTCAAGAAATTTGAAAAGTACAATCTCTACCAGATGTCCTGCAGTGGTAGGTGGCTGTCCTAGGGGGTTTCGGTCACTTTCATTTTTTTTAAATGAAAACCATTTTAGGCAGTGGAATATTAAAGAAAGAATGCATGACTGGGAAAACAAGACACTGCGTCATCCAGCAAAATGAGGTTTATGGATCCATACCTTGTAAGCTTTTAGAAATCAGGAAGAACAAACTCATGGCCTCATTTTGATGTGCCACCCCCATCATTCTGATGAAACAAAGGAAAAAATTGGTACTCTGTAATGATTTTTGTTAACACCTTTTAATAGTCATGGGCAAAGGGGACAATGATATAATTTACCAATGCCCTTATTCTGTTCACAGATATCAGGGAGCGATACCACTACATGATTCTGCTCTTCTATGTCGTGCTTCGCAACATGACCGAGTTTAACTGGAACATTGGTGAGTTTGTCCTCTGATTGAGTCCATTTTCCGACAGGACTGAGTCAGACCCAGAAGGTGAGCCTCTGGACAGATACTACTGCCAAGCAGAGACAAAATTTTGTAGAGTAACGTCCAGTTTGTCACTGCAGCGCTTGTCTCATAGCAATTTCACCTGCCAACAGTTTAATTAACATTGTGATTTGCAGGACCTCAACTGGATATGTTTATTAATGCTTGTGATCATGTGGACCACACTTTTTTGTATTCACACACTCAAAAGTCCCAGTGCATTTCAACCAGGAATCTTTCTGTCTTCTCCAAAAGGCTCCACCCTGCAGGAAGGCAATGGTACATTCCATGTGCATGAACATTCAAGGTCATATTGCCCCCCCTCGTTAAAGCAAGTAGTGTCTGTGCCATACCCTCCACAATCCTGCAGAATCCTCAAAGCATCTCCCGGTGGAATTGAAGGATCTTTGAGAGCCAGTATGAAAAGTTAATGCGTACCTCCTCGAATATTTTGTTCACAGATCATTTCTGGGATTTAATACCGGACCTAATATCTGTGCTGATTGCTGAGATTCTGGTGGACTGGGTCAAGCATGCCTTCATCACGAAATTCAATTCAATTTCAGCCGAGGTAAGATCCTTGCCAGTTTTATGCAATGTGCTTGAATACAGGCACGTGATCAATTAAAGTTGAGATGAAAATTATTGCCTGGCTTCAATTTTGTCTGAAATTTAATCCAATGAAACCTATTGTGCTTTGAGTGGCTAGCAGTGTCCATTTAAACATTAGTTTTGAATTTTTGTTCATACTTTTACAGGTGTACACAGAATACAGGGCCAACCTGGCTTTTGACATGGTGACAAGCAGAAAGAAAAATGTAAGCTCTCCAAAGCCTGCATCCCCGTGTTCTCATGACGTACAGAAATTACTTTATGTGAAGTATGACTTGTAATCTTGAATTTGTAGTGTACTAAATGTTTATCCACAGGAAAATATGAAAACTAAAACAATGCTAACAGGTGTTTAATTTGAATTGATTCTTTAGACACTTAATAGGTGGAAAGGCTTGCGGTAGCACCATGCGAAGGAATATATCGCTTATGAGTATGTGTGGTTCTGAAAAGAACTGGGCATATACTCAACATTTCAGACTGCATACTAAGTCCGTCGTCAGAAGACTGGAGAGATGCTGAAGATGGAGCTGTTTATATAAGGTGACTGGATGCAGTGGGGTGTGACAAGGATGCTAGTGGTGGATTCAGCTGGGCGCTCATGCGGGACGTGGCCCAGCAAGTATATTCCTTCACATGGTGCTACCGCAAGCCTTTCCACCTGTTGCCATCTTTCGCCACGAATAGCCTGAAATTCCATCTTTAGACACTTGTTTGGCTGTGTCATTAAATCTGTCAGTATTAGTCTTAGATGTGTCTGTGTAATCTGTCAGCTGGGCCCTACCTTCCTTATTGATCCTGTAAAAATTCTCTCCAAGGGAATGGATTTTTAAACTTTTTATGTACCTGAGATTGTTACTTTTAATTGTGCAGAACTTTGCAATTGTGTGCATAGGGCACACAATTGAAACACTAAAAGAAACAAGCAAGATCTTCTGGAAGTGGGATGAAGCCATGTTGTGCCCTTTGTTTCAGGCCTTTTCAGACCATTCTGATGTTGTTGCCAGGAGAATGGGATTCATTCCGCTACCCCTAGCGTGCCTTGTCTATCGCATTGTCGTCCAGTCGTTCAAGATACATGGCACTGCAGGAATAGTTCTCATCTTTCTTTTTTACTTATGGTGAGCTCATCAAAGAAGATTGAAGCTATCATAGTTGTTTATGGTATCAATATTTTTGCATGCCTTCAGAAACTCATTTTCAACTTGAAGGTAGATAACTTTTTCTCATGATCTTTTTCAAGTTACTGACATTTTGATGAAGTATTTTGTTTTGGGGTTCTTCTTTTTCATCTCATGGCAGTCTGACAGCCTTCAAAGTCTTGAACAGCATCCTCCTGCTGGGAAAAGCCTGCAAGTACGTTAAGGAGGCCAATCTGGATGTCACTGTCCTGCCACCAAAGAAGCCCAGCCCATCACCATCCCCTCCGCCGCCGTCGTCAGCGACCGCACCAACGGCGCCCTCAGGAGACGCCGCAGGGGAGACCAGAAGGGTGCCGCCAGCCATTAGCTCGCAGACGCTGCTGTCGGCAGACAGCAGCGTGAACCTGCTTGCAAGTGGACCGGACGTGGGTCCCCTCTCACCAATGGAGGCCGGCAAGTCGCTGACTAAGGAGGACATTTTGAAGAGCAAGTCGGACAGGAAGCGAACGCTGTCTGAGATTGATCGCTACACCCTGTGCAGCAATCGGATTGTATAGCACATCGCCAGGCCCCACTCCAATTGTTTTTTTTCCTTCAAAATATATAAAATTATTTTAACTGTAAAGGTGTATAATTTTTCTCAGAGTCTGCAAGATGTCTGTTGCTTGGTAACGAAGATGTTTGAATCGGAAGTGAAAATATGAAACAAGTGGTGCAACCAGTTTAGACCTGTTTCAATGATTGTTGTGCTTGAAGAAGCAATTAAACTTTGAGTTTGTAAGTTTGAATTGTGTAAATGTGAGCCCGCCAAGGTTTTGCAGAAATGGATAGTGTTCAATACCGACACATGTAAACTTTCCTTATGAGTTTAAGTGACATTTTCTGTCCTGCTTTAAAATGATGGACCCACCTGAAACAAATGGAGAACCCCTGCCACTGATGTACTGAGATCATGCTGATAGGGAACAGTTAACCAAAGAAACAAAAAAGAGGGTGCTTGTTATTGCTGAACTGTTCTTGTACTAATGCCACCCTTCGAATGTTTAGCATACAGTGTTGGGAGCTTTGTGGGTGCAAGGTTTTCGACAAGTGTACCTGCTCTTGTAGCCTTCCATACTTCAAATGGCCTTTTCCCATTTTAGTGATGTATGGTATAAGCTGGTTTCTATCCTTAATTTGTTAATTGTTAATAATATATTCTTGCCTGAAATGTGGACTGACTTGTTTGTAAATTTCTGTTGTAATTTATTGGACTTTTATGATAATTTGTACAAAGACGAAAGACTGAATGACAAAGTTGTGTCAGTTGTGGATCGTACCTGTCAATTAGTTTCTGTTTAACATTGAAAAGAAATCTTGTGGAAAAAAATTGGGTTAAAGGTTAGCGGGAAGCATTGTTGGTTGATCAGTTCCACATGCGGATTGCTCTTTAGAAATATTCCCTAATTCCTTTATTTGCAGTTTTTTTCTCTTCTCTGAAAATCATATTTTTTCCTTTTCTCTAATTCCACATACATGTGCAAATTCTAATCATTAATCAAATGTTTCTTTGACATTTACATGCCACTTGTCTGTAATGTTTTACTTTTCTACATTTCTGTTCTTGGATTAGATCCATTTTTAGGTGCCTTGCTGTCAGTTGTTTTGGCTTTATAATTCTAGAGTCCCTTTTTCAACTGTTTTTTCCTGATTTTTTCTTACTGTGCACGTGTTAGTTTAAGGTTTGGAACTCTACATGTACTTCTGCCAACAAATGGCAAGAGAGTCAACAATTTTTTTTCAGTTTGTGTTAAAATTTCACATTTCAAAGCTTAGCTAAGAATTTGGGCTTATGTGCACATCCTTATGGATCCTGTCCTGAAGGGGCTAGTGCAAAATTTCTTTATTCATGCTGAAAGCACAGAATGTTGATCATGAGTGCAGAATTAAATGGTTAAAAGAGCCAAGATGTGGGCCCGTATTCCAAGTGCTGTTGTTAAAAAGTTGAAATGGAACCACAGCAAATAAAATACAAATTTTACTGCATGTATTCTAGTATGTGCTAGGAGAGATATGGCATGTTGTGTCTCTGCAAAGTCAAGGCAGATCAGTCTGCTTCATGGACAAGTTTAACTGCCCATACACTTTTGTGGTTAATTTCAATTTCTTATTTGAATGCTAGATACCAGCATGACATGTTTGACGTAGATTTGAAAGTACTAAGCCCAACCAAAGAACTGAATTCATTCATCAGAGTGGAGTTCTTAATTTAATGATTTGCACTATATATTTTTTCCGGATACACCCAAACATTACAGCCTACATGTACATCTTCCATAATTGTAAGCAATACATCCTTTTGATGTATTTGTCATGAACAAAATGAATAAAAATGTGTTGGGAAATGAGGATTCACAGTGCAACTTGTTTCTTCGACTGTTGACTTTGTACAAACCAATTAGACAAAGACTTTCCAACATTCCACATATCATTTAATAGACACTTCTTTCTAGTTCTGATATAAAGTTACTCCTTTTCCAGTTGCAATTTTTATTAGGTCAATAAAGACACTGTTTGTATCTGGCAAACAATTCCTAAAACTTAATGATAAATTAACCCAACAATACTTGGTAAATATGCTACCTTATCGTACAACATAGGAGTCTCAAACAACAGACAGCCAATATGGACATCAGTGTCAACTGTACTGGTTTGATCAATCAGAACTTACTACATTTGACAAATTTCCCTTTTTTCAGGAACACACACATCTGCAGATGAAACCACTCACTTGATGGAGAATGCAGACGCTTTGCTTGCGTGATTCAGCCTATTATCCTGATAATCTCAAAATACATCAAGTGCCCAAAACCATTGGCCAGTGTGGTAAAGTGCACAAACAAGAGGACCAATTAGAGCAGGTGTACCACGGGTTAGTATCACCCACTTTCAAACCACTGTGCACAGCTTGACTTTATCATGTACTATGAAGCATGTCTTGTAATATGATCACTTAGTTGGCAGGAGGATGTTTGCTTCTAATTAGGGTGGACTTATCTTCAACCCTGCACACAGCATTGAAGTAAGGCTTTTATCAAGAGGGTTCAGGCAATACAGTAAGTATTGCAACGTGTGTTAAGTCTGCGGTCTATAGTTGCTTGTGACGGTGAAGAAAAAATTTTCACGGCCAGTCAAATCTGAGTTTACACTAAACTTCACTTGTGGTAAGTATAACTATTTCAGTGAATCACAGATAAAGGTGCATAAAATTAGCTTCACTTCTCTCAAAGAAAATAATTACAATCTTAAACTGTATTCCCAGGAAAGCACACTTTTACACACTGAAAGATTAATTCATTTTTCTCCATTTATAAGGACAGTGTTTCTCACTCAAGCCATTATAAATTAGCGGCAATGCATTCTTGAAGTAGGATCTTTGAAACAACCTGTCAAATGCAAGCTCATGCAGGTGGAAGAGGATTCTTTTCTAAGCGGAGAAAACGTTTTAGCAAGCACATTGGTGATTAACCAAACATTGCACAATCAGTTTTGAGAGTATCCCTTGATGTTTTGCCACGATCCTGATTAAATTTAAGCACAGAATTTGCTGCAACAGAAAGGCCATTTTGACACTATCACACCAATCATCGCACATGTTCAACACTCCATAACACTTGTTACCAACCTTGCAGATTGAAACTTCCAAATACGATTCAACAAATACAAGTTTGTAAGTCAGCCAACCTGTCAGAGTAGGACTATTGGAGCAAAACCAATATTTTCAATATGGGGTGATCACAGGTTGCCTAATGCAAGCTAACGCCAGAAGCTTGGTGGTAAGAAAGAGTTGAAGGGTCACATGAGTAAATTCAAAAGCTCTTGAAAAGCACCGAGCCTTTATCCGCTCCGAGCCGAACAAAAGAGGGCATTTTTTTTGGTACCCATGGCATAGGCGCGTTATGAGGCGAGCAAGTATATGCGCGTTTGACGCGGAGCATGCCAAGTATGCGTAACTATTTTATTTTGGCTTGTATGGTCTTTGTGCACATGCAGAACGCGTGCAAGAACTGCTTGTAACCACCTGTTTTTCTTTTGCCAATTTGGGGTACACTTCAGCTTGAAGCGGATTACAACATTACCTCAGGGAGTGACAAACCCAAAATTGAAATTAAGAGCATCATCTCTGAATTGTGGACTGGCTCTAAAAACTGGCGTTAAACAGGGTTGTAGCATGTAATTTTTTAGTGCTGGCTGTTTTTGACATTTAAAAAAAAAACAGCCCATTTTTCTCTCTCAACACAAAGAAATTGCAACAATGCAGTATACATTGAAATTTGTGCTGGCCAGCAAGCTTCATTTTCATCTCCAGTGCTGGCCCGTAATGTTGAGTGGTGCCTAGCACAGGCCGGAGCCGGCCAGCATAGCTACAACCCTGGCTTTAAAAGACATTTCTCTTTAAACATTGACCCAATGCCTCATCGTAGTTAACAATGTATTGGCCCGAGAGCCAACATTTATTTATTCATTTATAAGTTATGACTTGCAGCTAGCATCTCAAGTGTGATAATGTTATGTACATCAGTACTTTGGAAGTTAAGTTATAATTGGTTGTAGTGTTTAGTATAGAAATTGACTCATCAAACACTGCAGAGCACATGCAGGGAAACCAACCCCAAACAGGTTAAACCTCTCATTAGTCTTGGCAGTCAGTCGCTCCTAGTCTCTCTCAAACGACACCACTTCCTACAGATTACCATATGCACTGGTATTTTGGATATGAAATTTCTGTGATGCGAATTAGCTGCTCCGTATTTCGAGGCTATTCGGATCAACACATGCGCGCACACTGTGCAGACATGCGCATGATGGCGTTGAATATGCACTTGTAATTTTCCTGTGAAGATGGTGTCCTATGAGGGAGATTTAAATATGCACCACTATTTCATTGGATATCAAGGATTTTGCTAAAATAGAATTAGCTACCACATTTTGGTGATCATTCCAGGAGCGACTTTCCTGTCATCTCGGGTGGGATGGGTTGGCCCATCAGCTCCAGCACGGTTGGTGCCACGTCGGGCAGAGCAGCATTGTGGGTGATGTTCTGCTTGAACTTGCAGGTGCCGCCGTGCATGCAGAAAGGAACTGGATGGCAGGAATGGAAGGAAAAGACAGTGATATGGCAATCTCTTTAACCGTTGCCACTTTCAGCACGTTGAGAGCAAACGGCAACTTCTATACATGGTAGATGATATAGTGCGAATTTTGGTGGTGCAGGGAAACTTGAGAGAACTCCTTAGCACAGAAAATGTGTGCTAATAGCAAAAAAGCATGTTACCAGCTACAAAATCACAAGCAATGCATACGGCCGGGGATTCGTTCACTGCTTGTTTTTGTCTTAGCACATAATTAGCTCCAAATGTTGACCACCTACCTCTCTTGGTGGTGTGTTTGGTCACCGGATTGCCCTGGCCGTCGATCATGACCTCTGCATTTCCGTGGTCGGCAGTGATCAGTAAGACATAGTCGTTTTCCTCGCAGGCTTTCTTCATGTCCCCAATAGCTTTGTCTGATCACGGAGGAGAGACAAAAATTAAAAGCCACAACTGTCTCAGAATCCTTCGCTGTAGCTGGCTTGGCTTTGGCTTAAAACTAACACTTGATCCTGTGGAAGCCGTTGGAGAGTGGCTTGGGTCAATTTTCGTAGTCACATGTATTGTTTCTAGATGCAGCCAAATAATTGGAACATGGCTTAAATGGCCTATTGTTTGTGTTGTAGCAACAGCCATAGCCAGTTGATTCTGACACAGACTTTGCTCTTTCAATTTACATGGCTTTGGTTCAGATTAAAACTTTCAGAGAGGACTGGGCTTATTGAATCTATGCATAACTAATGAGGGTGCTATTCAGCCAAAGAGGGAAGGTATGGCTCCTGCATCCAAAACTTGTGGCAGCTGCTTAAAATAACAGGTTAGTCTATGGTAACCAGTTGCTGTTTCTGGCTGCAGCCAGGTCAGTTAGACTAAGTCTAAGTGACAGTACTCATATTTCACTGGTACACACTGTATTATCATTTTCACTGTGAAGGTATCAGAGGTTTGTACACATTCAGCTGAAAAGTGATCGAAATGTTTGCCGCATTCATACTACCATCTACTATGCTCTCTGTTCTTGCACAGAGTGCATAATGAGCCATGAGCCCACCTGTGGCTGTGCACGCTTTGACAGCAGCCTCGTAGACGCCAGTGTGTCCTACCATGTCAGGTGGCGCAAAGTTGCACATCAGGAATGGATATTTCTTAGACTTGATTGTCTCCACCATCTGAACAAGAAAACCATAGGAAATCTTCCACATGTGCAATGATATCCAACAAAGAAGTACAGACTTGATGCTCATGTTGCATATATGTGAACGAATTCAATTGTTCCACACTTTTTAGTCCCTACTAAAAAACTAAATTATACTTCTGTTAAACTGCAGCAACACCTCGGCTCCAGAGTGGCCTTATGCATGTATATGAGGACCTAAGCAACGTCCTCAAAGCTTCTGAAAGCTACATCTTGGTTTTAAACAACGGGATGCTTAAATCTTCCTTGTCGCCTGATTAATCTAGCACTTCAGCACATGGTGCTACTTGTGCATACACTAGTATTTAAGTTGATTATTGTCAAGGGTCATAATGTTGACAACAACCCAGCCATTTTATGCCCCTATATTCGAAAGTTATGACTGTGGCTAGAAATAACACCTTAATTGATGGAAATAATGCCTGTGGAAGCCACAAGCTGGGGCAAGATCCACTTCCCAAAGTGCCATACATTACCTACAGCCACTGTCAGTTTATTTGGATGTCGATCTTGACAAACAGCACTGAACAGTACCCTCTGCACTGCAAGTCACACCATGTTTGCACAGTACCTTATCTGCCACACCCTGGCAGCTCATCTCTGGCTGGAGGTCATAGGTCGCGACCTTGGGTGAGGGCACCAGGCACCTATCTTCCCCTTCAAACTGCATCTCCCGTCCACCGTTGAAGAAGAATGTCACGTGGGCGTATTTTTCAGTTTCTGTCAGGGAAATTGGTTGTTTTATCCTTTCAGTAATAACTATGATAATATTTACAAATAGGTCATTGGGAGACATTTTGTGGTAAATGTTTAATAATTATCATAATTTAGGTTAGCATATCCTAATAAGAAAGCGGATGAGGTATTTATATCCCATCTACAACCTTGTGTCATTACTTACATCATTTTGACTCTTAAAATTTCCATGAGTGTTTTTAGTTTTACCTGCACAGTGGAACTGTAGGACCTTGCGATGGGCTAACCACTCAGCTAGAACGTTCACTGGCTCTTCCGGCGGGAAGATGACGGGGAAAGGAAATTCTGCCTTGTACTCTGTCATGCAGAACACACCCTGCAGTGACAAGAATCGTAAAGGAGAAACTTAACTGAGGCTGCAACAAGATGACCTGTGGACAGGAGAGAATCAGTTCTGTCTACACCGTTGAAAAGTCTTGCCTGGTAACTGAAATTTCACTCTGACCAATCAGCTTTGCCTTGATGTTCATTAGGTTTAGGCAAGGATTTCTTACGTGTGACAAGTAGGTGAAAGGCAGGTTTTACTTGCTGGAATGAAAACTTTGGTGACAAGACTTGCGATTGACTTGTAATTGTCTTACAGTTACCGTGATTTGACTTGTGATTTTTGTGATTTGGGACATGTGTGTGAATGACTTTTTTGACTTCACTTGTGATTACTTATAATTTGATTCAATTCTGAGTAGACATATAATTACTTGCGACTGAGTTGTGGCTGGCTTGTGACATTGCTTGTGACCAACCTATGATTTAACTTCTGAATATTGTGTGACTTGTCTTGTGACTGGCTTACTACTAGAGCTGATGGTCTTATAATTTTGTTCGACTTTTAATTTGACTTGTGATGGACGTTGCCACAATTGAGCGTCCGCAGACTCACCAGGTCTTTGGGGATCTGCGCCGTCTCAAACTGGGGCTTCAGACCGACTGCCTCCACGATCTGCCGCATGCGGTCAGCGCGGAAGTCAATGAAGATGAGCGTGTCGCCATCCCTGATGCGACCGTCCGGATCCACGATTATGGGCTTGAGGAACTCGTCTGTGACTCTCTCCTCCTCAGGAGCATCGTAATGATTCTGAACAACCTGGAGAAGTGTTAAATAAATGCTAGAATCTGAAGGCTAAGAATGAAGAGTGTGGTCCCTCACAAAGCTGTAAATTCAGTTTTATGAAAACAATGTCATTCGTTAACCATTTCCCAAAGGTCTTTTAATTAGAAGCATTAAAAAAACTTATCCACCTCTAACTCTACCTGGGTGTGTAAATGGGGTTTGCATATCCAATGTTTTCTCTCTGTAATTCAATTCATGTATCTTTGAAGCAAAGAAGGGGATTGTAAAGACACTACAATTGATTAAAATGAAAATTCCTTGCATTAATTAGCATCACAGAGAATCAAAGTGCATACTTTTTTTCTGGCTGAAAGTCAGATTGTCAAGAACAGCATCTTGAAAGAAAATATTTACAAACCGTCAAATGAAAAAAGGTTGCACGCAACATATTAGTCTCATCACAAAACTGCTGGTGATATGCAAGAAATTGCCAGGCTGAAGTATGTTTTTTGGTTTTTGACCATTTCGCACCATGAAAAAGCTGTGTTTACTCTCTCAAATTGATCCAGAATAAAAATTTACAAAAAGATGATTCAGAACTTATGGACAGTCACAGTTGTGGACTTTGCATTGCATGTACATGAATTTGCCAGGAATAATTTCAACAATGCTACCTATTAACTGAGAGATACTTCCGCCAATTTCGGCCTGATTTGGGAATGGAGGATCATGCATGTTGACACATCTGTCAGTTGTTGCCTACCTGGACGATATCGTTGGGAGTCGCCTTTTCACCAATTCCTTGCACCAGCCCCTCGTAGGCGATCTTATTCCGCTCGTAGCGCTTGTCCCTGTCCATGGCGTAGTACCGGCCAACAACGGTCGCCAGAGACCCGTACCCAATGTTTTTGGTGTAGTCCAGCACCTCTTGAATGTACTTTACTGAAATTTAAAAGACGGTGATTTAGTCTAATGCAAATCTGTAAGCATCATTTTGAAGCCTGGGAAATTAAATTTTTGCGCGCAAAATAATCAGTATGATAGAAAACATGATGGAGGCCTGGGTCAAAATCACTCAATGAAGCACGCACACAAAAAATCTCATAGAATTTTGTTCTCAAGCATCTATACAAAATTAAGCTCAAGCATGAAGAAGCAATGTTTTGCATGTGAATAGAATATAGAAATCAGCATTTTTAGTATCCTAATCTTAGTTAGCAATTGAAATATTGAACGTAAAGATACACTGGAAGCAAAAATGCCCCTCATGAATTCAAGTTACAGTTATACCATTATCACCTAGAACCTTTTTGAGCCATCCAATATCTTCCACAAGGCAAAAAGTTCTAAACTTTCAAGGTCTAAGGTAAAGCTCTTATACATGTAGCTGGGATCCAACTTCCTCAATCCTGCAAAATCCTCAAAAGCCCTGTGGTGGATTTTGATGGATCTGGGTGAAGGAAAACTGAAGAACAATGCCAACGTGGTAGCCAAGACCTTCACAGGATTCCACATGACCATCACAATACCAACGCAAGACCTCTAGTCTGACTTCTGTCAAGAGTTATTCAAATGAACTGAAACAAAAGCATCCTTTTGCCCCTGTTCAACCCACTACTTGTGACTGGTCTTTTGTCTGGTCTTGTGATGGTCTCAACTTTAGCAATGACCAATCCAAAAGATGCCCATACTGTGCAAGCATCAAACTCATATGCGTCTACTAACATGTTGCATAATAACTTGAGGTGGAGGGGCAGGAATTTTGGCAATTCGAAAAAAAAAAAAACACAGAGCCTCTTGAAGGGCACAACCTGCATATAAGTACAGCACCACTGATGTAAGGGTTTCTATATTCTGACCAAGAGATTTGGTTCAAAACTTTCTATATTACCTCCGCTGACGGGACTTGTGTCGCGTCCGTCAGAGAAGAACTGGATGAATGTCTTGGGCACGCCTTTCTCTTTTAGACCAACAAGCAAGCCCTTCAGATGGGCAATGTGAGAATGAACACCCCCATCGCTAACCTGACGATGAGAACCAAACACAGGATCTCTTCATAATTTGTCATTGCATTCACTATGGTAACAAGTTTACTGATTTTACTGCATGGGTTTTTTTAACTGGTTTAATTATCACAGAATTTTTCACAAGACAGTCGGTTTTTTTAACTTGACAAGCACTGCATCTCACAACACAAATGACAGAAGGAAAAATTCTTGCTTGCAAAAATGAACTTGCCATCAAATACATCCACCTGAAGACTTTGTGTGTATTATCAGTGCAATGTATGTAATTATCGTTATTACAGCACTTGATTTTCAAAAGCTGTATTTCTGGGGTCTTCTCTACTGTGGAGAGAAACTATGGGTTGAAGGGCTATAGTAAGTTTGAAATAGTAAATCTGTTATTATTGTAGATGTTTTAGTAAAAACAAACCTGAAAATAAACAGAAAATTTTGTGGAACTCTACATTTAGGTGGGAAGTTTAAAAGCTTGGGAAAGATTCAGATGAAGAAATTGTTAAAAACTGACAAAATAGTGAGAAGCATTATTCAATAAAACAGAACAATTTCTCAGGAGAGGGGGTCTTGATGGGATTTGTAATCCAACGACTGCATAATTTGCCTGTGGAACCACACCTGTGTTTCATCGAGTTCCTGACACATCTATCCATAGCTAGGTTTCTATAAATCAGTTTCTATGGAAATCACTTGCAGATTTAGATGTTTACACAGCGTATATGATCAAGACTTTTGACTGCTAAGCAGAGGCAGTACACTTAATTATGTTTCCGTGGTAACACTCACCAAGCCTAGAAGATGAATTCGGCCATTGCCATTTTTGGCTCTGGTGTAAGCCTCCACAAATGCCGGCTTGTTCATTATGGACTTGTCCTCGATTGCCAAGTCGATCATGACGATACTCTGAATTAAAAAGAAAAAGTACAAAGACTGTGAATACATACATGTATTTGGACTTTTAACTTGACAAATCCGAGTTGATGTCAATCAGGAGGGGCAATTCAAACTTTTGAAATAAAGCGTAAAGTTCTTTGTCCGAAATTCGCATCGGCCAGGAGTTTTCACACAAAAACACAAACTTACAGTAACAAAAATCCTGACTGCATAGATAAGAAGGCTGTCAAATACCACACCTGTTGTTATCTTCAGGAATCAACAGGGTCTAAAGAGTTGCTGGGCAGTTGTATTATGCAATGTTGCACCGGTTCACAGATTCACCTGGCTACAAATCAGAACGTGTGAGGGTAGTTTTGCTGAAATACCCCAAAAAGCCACTTGACAGATAGTTGGAAATAAAGGCTTCTTCTATCATTTTCCTTGAAATGTGGGGATGCTACTAGAAAAATCTTCACAGGGATAGTGCCATCTTTAAACCAAATATGATTTTTTAAACAACATTTTTAAAATGGATATTTTAATACGTAGCTCTATGTGGTGCAGTCCATGTTTCAAGTTAATGAATACGCCTTTTGCGAGTTAACTTTGACCCATATCTGATACACTGAGTTCTTTAAAATCGCGTGAACATAACAACTTCAATTCTCCGTACTAAAACCACTGTTGCTATACCTCGTGATTCAGGGCAAGTTTGTGCTTAGCTACATGTACATAAGAGATGCCTTGCAACAATACACTATACTCAATGGATAAGAAGGGCCCTGAATCACGAGGTACGGCAACAGGGTCTTTAGTCTGGAGAATTCAAATTGCTATGTTTATGTGCAATCAGATAACTCAGTGTACCAGATTTTATTCAAATTTAACTCGCAAAAGGCTTATTGAAAGCTACTAATGTCAGCCTACCTGGTACAAGACACGTCCAGCACCTATACTCAGGTGGCCCACCTCGCTATTTCCCATCAGGCCTTTGGGCAAACCGACAGACAGTCCCGATGCATCCAACGTGACACAGCTGGACTCTTTGCACAGCTCGTCCATGACTGGGGTGTCTGCATTAGCGATGGCATTGCCTGGTAACAAAGAAAAGAAGCAATAAAATTAGATAGGTATATGTTTCAACTATACGTCTATCTTCTTTTAAATTGGGAATTTGGGAATAGTGGCCAAGGAGGTGGCACAGGCAAGAAATCAAATTAATGGGTATTTCAGAGGATGTGGGCTCCACCTTTAGTCCACCATGATGTCTACATTGCCTTTTTTCTTATCAGACAAGTTCCATGTCAAAGAGATTTTGGGCAGAGAGGGTTCTCACCTTTACATTTGTGGAAAGGGTTCCATATACGGATGCTGCTTTTGCTTTTGATAGCTAATAGGTCACAGTAGGGAATAAGGCATCCATATATGAAACTCTTCCCACATTTGTAAATGGAGGAATGCTACTGTAGGTCCAAGGTAATCAAATTTCGAAGGAAGGTACTGTGGCTTTAGAAACATTGATCTCCATCATACAGTGGACATGATAGATACTGGTGTGTAGTTACTTATTCCTCATTTGATGTTCAACATTCAATGTGGAACAAAATAACTGTTTGGTATTCAACACTGCTTAACCCTAACACTCCTCAGTCTTCCAACAGGTGAAGGATTGAGGAGGGTTAGGGTTAAGTACATGTAACTGTTTGACATTCAGGATGCGCATCACTAAAAGAGATGGAGTGCAAAAGGGAAAAAAAACAAACTGTGCCAACTACATTTTAGTAGTGTACAGAGGCTTTTTGAAAAAAAGAAGTTTAGAGACGGGCATGGGATAGATGTATATTATTTTGATTGACTGAAATAATTTTGATAAATGGCAGGTACTGTATATACCGGTAAAAACTAAACTTGCTTTTTCCTCTAATAATTACACTGCCATTAAAAAACCGTCGCCAATATTTCAGGGCTTGTTTGACCCCGAGAAACACCATGCCCCAAGTTGCCAGGAGTCGTCGCTGATTGAGGAGAACAATGACATCAGATTTAATGTAATCTCCAGGCAGGGCATGGGGTTTGGGTATTTTATTACGATTTGAGAAAAGTGTGGTGCGTGATGCATTCACTTTCCCACTCTGGTTTGCAAGCGAAGAACTCCACTGATAAGATTTGCGTCCAAGCTGTTTTGACCATGGAAAACTGCCTTTGCCCTTGGTGTCACTAAAGTGTACAGAAGCACTTTGAAGAAAGGAAGTTTGGAGCCAGGGTGTGGGATAGATGTATATTATTTCGATCGACTGAAATAGCAAGTATCTGAAAACTAACTTTGATTTTTCCTCTAGCTGTCGTAAAAACTGTCACCAACATTTCAGGGCTTGTTTGACCCCAAAAAACCTGTTGACCTTGGTTCTCGCTGTGGGAGAGAGTTACTTGTGAAATGGCATGTACAATGTAAATTGGGTACATGTGAATGGAGGTGCCAGTGAGTGTTTTTTTATACCCTTTTGCACTCCATCGCTTTTAGGGACGTGCATCTTGAATGTTAAACAGTTACTTAGTCAACGTAGGAATATAAAATGGTTAATACTTGTTCAAAATTGAATGCTGAACATCAAACAAGGAAGGAGAAACTAACTTTACTGATAGATACTTCACATATTTAACAGTAGATTACTAATACTAACAACTACCAGCTTGACAAAATAGTCTGGCGACTTGCATTTTCTACACTGATGCACTGCAGACTGAGCTGAAGTCTGGAGTTCAGACCACAATGGCCGCACGTACAGTGAGTAGGCACTGAACAGCAAAAAATGCTCTTGCAACCTCTTGCCTTGGTCATGTTGCTACCTCTACAAATTTCAAACCTAGTTTCATAAAAAACAGACATACAATAATGCTTACCATGCTTTTCATCTGAAAGGCCCCAGCCATCGATTACTATCAGACAGACATTCATTCTTTTAAACAGTTAACGAGCGCAAGCTAAGAAATAACATCATAAAACGCCGGCACGTACGTCTCGTATATTAAAGGTCACTTTGCCCCCGAAGCGCTGGCGGTAGTGAAATAGCCATTTTTTACACTTGGACTTCGTCCCTTCTTTATCAAATACCAGTGAAAAATAAATCATAAATCTGGCCTCAAAATGTAATTAAAAATACTTTACACTGTGGCCTTATTTTCATAGAAATGATATTTCTCGAGCAAAATATGGTTCTGTATTTAGCAAGGCGTGAATCCTAACATTTCGTACAGACACTTTGGTAACAAATCCTAAATTTGAAAAAACAATTTACTAGTCTCACTCTCCAGTCTCAGAAATGTATATACAAAGTACGACAACACGGCGCGCCGCATATGTATGCCGGGCCGGCCGCGCATCCAGTTAGCACACGCGGACGGAGTGCGCACGTACGTGTGTGGGCGGTATTATTAGCTCCTATCGTGCGAGAAGAGACACAAGATCGACTGATCGAAAGCACGTTGTTGGAGCGTGATCCAAAAAATGCCTACATGCGGCAACTGTCGACAAGAAGTGGACTTCTATGAGCATGGGGGACTATTTTATTGTAACGAATGTGACACTCAGTCACAGGTAATTGGGATACCGTTCGTAGCTTTTTAGACCCAGAGGATAATCTCCTCCAGATCTACATGTACGTCCTAACGTTAGTCAGTTGCAGACCAGTAGTACAGCACGTGCACCGTATTGCCCAGTACATGATGTGCACTGTACATGATGTACATGTAGGTCTGGTGCTAATGTAAAAGGAAGGAATTAATTCACATTGAACTCTCTTGTCGATTTGACTGACGTGATTGAGTTCAAATTCTGTGTCATATGCCTACACGTTAAACATGTTAGGCCTAAATGAAATCCAAATACGTGTTTTTCCTGAATGTTCCTACGTATGTTCTTTGGTTTTCTAAAAACAAAGTAAAGACAAGTTGGCTTCCAGTTTCCAGAGGTGGCGTAGGCCTACAAAGTAAGGAGGGAATTTACATTTAATTTGAAAAACATTCAGAAAACTTCCCCATGCTGTTTAAATGTTTAAACGTGTAAATGTCCTACCTTTACCACGGTGTCATTGAAAACTTTAAACACAACAAATTGTATACAGTGTAAATAGTTGACACAAAGTTCCGGTGATATGAATTCATGGTATTCCTTTTATGTGACCGAGTAGTGTTCTGAAAATCAGATTACATTTTACATGCACTGTTTACAATAAAAACAAATCCAAGATTGTGTCAATCAAAAGTCAAACCAAAAGAATCCATGTAAATGAATGGGAAAATCTGTAAATGGATTGGGACATTTTTTCCTTTTAAATGTGTAAACATCCCATCCTTAGTACAAGGTACACCACAAGGGGGTGGGGGGGTAGGGGAGCAAAGGGGACTATGGCCTCCCTAAAAGAGACAAACTAGTGTGTGTTTTTTTTTTTAAATAATGAGAAAATGGCAAATATTTGGTCTACATACCCAGACAGTCCATTAAGAGAATAAATGAAGAAATTGTTCAAAGTTTTTGGCCCCCTGAAAACAAGCTTGACCCTTCAGAGTTTGGTTCCATTCTTGGTCGTATGTTTGGGTAGATTGTTAGTTTGGATATGTACATGAACTAGTTTGTAACTTAAGAGGGAGGGATACTTGTCGATAAAGCAGGCCAGTCTTGATGTGATATTTTTGTTTACTAGTGGCTAGGATTAGCGGTCCCCTCCAAATCTCTGTATATTTTATACATGTACAAGCCCCTTGATCAGTCTGTAGATCGTTGCACGTCTGCCAGCATTACTGTTTTTGTGTCTTGTTTATACATGTATAGTTGTATTTCAATGCATCTCTCCTGTTCAGGTCATGCGCGTCATTGAAAAGGACGATGACTTCACCGACTTACATGGCCTCTCTCATGCCCACATGTACTCCACAAAGAAGAGTAAAAAGATGGTGACCAAAGATGAAACAGGTGGGCAGTGGTATAATCAAGTCCGTAAGTCGACCACAAGTCCTTCACAAGGCTCAAGTCAAGCCGCAAGCTACTCAAATGAACTCTGACATGGCTTTCCTTTATTGGTCCTCTTCTTTGTGACCAGGCTCCCGATTTGACTTGTGATTGACCTGTGATCTCGCTTTTGATAGACCTGGCCACAGTCAGGAAAGTAGACATTCTTACATGCAGCGCAAGTGACGTGTTGTCCTTGCCCCTCCCAAATTGGATTGGAATATATCAGTCCTGGGGAGTGTCATATCTCAGCTTTACCCGACTCTTGAGACTCAAAACTCGGACCAAAATTGATCAGTGACAGTCAACCATCGTTCCATTGTACCTGGCACACTAGTTACCAGGGAGAATCAAGCAGTTGTCAATAATTTGAATAAATTGTCACTGAATGAACTTGTTCCCCCACCAACAGACAGAGATCTCCGAGTTTATGATTGTCAACTAGCTGTTACAGTTATAAGACAAACCGTTATGAAAGATACCAGTAGCCTATTCATCAAAATTGTGGAGGGTTACCGACCAAGATGTCATGCACCATTATTTTTTTTGCGGCGGGGTTCATCTGATGTTGGCTGCTATATAAAGTTTCTTTTTATAGCAGATTTATTTTTGCTTAGTGGCTCTCTGCTTTACTACCATCCTGTCCAGGGTTCTACATCTTTTTTTTGTGTCTGTTTGCACCAGATGCTGAAGAGCAGCAGGAGCAGTCTTGGTGGTCAGCTGAGCTGTATCAGGCCATCTTGAAAGCACAGGTCAAGGCCTTGCTCGCCATGGGATTCCCATCAAAACTGGACGTGAGTGCCCCAGATTCTTAGTTTAATCGTGAACAAATTGATCAATTTTGGCTGTATTTTTGCTCCAGGCTGTATTTTACCCTAATAGTCCTTAATCTTCTGACGGTGGAGGACTGAGGACTAATCAAGTGCCCAGGGTCCATTGTACTAACTTTCATTGAAGAAATTTTTGGATAGGCTACCTGTTGTAAGATCTTGACCTCCATTCAAATTTCTTGCTTGCTTGCCCAGGAGATAGTGATGCAGCTGTGGTTCCGCTACTTGAGCAAGTCGGGTACGGCCTTCTGCAAGACTCCCAAAGCAGCCAATGTAAGTGAAGACGTGCAGGGGGAGATAGACAAGGAGGACCAGGAGGAAGATACTTCCAAGAGGCCGCCATGGAAGAAAGGTGAGCCTTAGGCAAGGACTTTGCCGTTGAGAACGTCAGGAAATTTGCGGCTTAATCTGGAACTTGATCAGTTGCACACGGCACACTGCCAGATATAACAAGGATCAACGGGCATTGAGCTCTGAGGGATATTGTTGTAGTTGGCAGCAAACAGCAGAAGCAAACATGTCACTGTCAGATCCTAGAAATATGGAAGGGCTGCGTAGCACCGTGATCAGAATATTGCCAAGAATATAATATCAAATCAGTGCTTTGAAATACGTGATTGCCGAGCTTTCGGTAACTGAGTACCTTCTTCAGGGCAGGCAGATTCAGTTCTGAATGAACGCGGAAAAATCCACGTTCATTCCCCCTGGATGCAGTGTTCCAAGTTCGAAAATGACGCGCTGCTCCAGTTCCTTATGCTGTACATCAGATGACGTTTTCAGCAGGATGCAGATACTTACGTCACCGAAGGAATGTGGCGGCGCGCAAAAGTGCTGCGCAACAGTGAGACAAGGTGTTTGTTGGCGCACACTGCGTAAGTGTTCCGCAAAGTGGTCACCAAGGCGACGCTTGGTCTCTCCGATGTACAGAGAAATATGGAAGGGCTGCGTAGCACCGTGATCAAAATACAGTTTACCACAGCGACGACATGTAATGCAATGAACTACATTACTAGTAATGCATATATGATCCCCACTGTCAGATGCTGTTGTATTTGGTAGCCTGGGGCTCTGACGCAGTGTAGCCTTGGAAATAGTTGATCTGTTAGATCAATTTGTCACACACAGCAGACTTCTTACGTTGACAACTGCAATATTTTACATGATTTCAGGCCAATATACCCCAGGTCTCTTCAGGTTTTCCCAGTGCACCTAGTGGAGCTTGTTGAACTCAACAGAACAAAACTAGGAATAAATGTTTCACTTAAGGTCATGAAAATTGTTGTTAAAAATCTCCATTGTTTGGTGTTGGAATTAATGCATTTGACTAACGTGACTCAGACAAAGAGTCAAAAAGTATACAAGTGAATTTGGCTACTACATGTACCTAACCATTGACTTTTTAGGCAAGCGCAACAGGAAGTTGCTCTGCAAGGATGACTGGCTGCATCGCAGTGAGAAGGGAACCATTGTCACCAACGCCATCCAGAGGTCACACACTGACAAAATCCGGCTGAGCCTGTGGAACAGTGTATGCTTCATGTACATGGGACTACAGGCATTGAAGGAGCATGTGCTGCTGTCTGACCTGCTGAGGTGAACAAAGGAATGACCCCCAGTTTCAGAAAGTGTCTAGGGGATTGATCTCTATGGGGAAAATTCGGAGTGCTTATTGGCCATTCTGAGCTGTACAAACATGGGAAGCTGGGAGCTGGTTCCTGATCCTTCCAATGGAATGTGTGAAGGGAACCAGTCTGAGTTATTCCAATCATTCAAGATAACCTGTGCAAGTTAAGATTTACCCTTTGCTGGGTGATGTGTGCCATTCAAT